ATATTTATATTATTATTATATCCCTAGTACCACGGCTTCTTCTAAACCCACCCTGCACTTCTGGCAGTTCTCTGTTGATATGCTGTTCCAGTCAGTTTTTCAACAACTTTCAACAGAATCTTGCTTGCATGTGGTATTAATAATATTGTTCAACATTTCTGCTCTCTGTCAGGTCATCTTTATTTGGAATGGGAATAAATATAGACCTCTTCCAGTCAGTTCGCCAGGTAGTTGTCCTATAGATTTCTTGGCACAACTTGGTGAACACATTCAGGATAGCATCTGTTTGTTGAAATATATCAACTGTATACCATCAATTCCTGGGCCTTGTTCTTTGCCAATTCCTTCAGAGCAGCTTAAATTTCTTCTTTCATCACCACAGGCTCTTGCTCATATGTTGTTTCATGAAATTCTTCTGTGTCAGCCAATTTCTTTTGGTACAGTGACTCTGTATACTCTTTTCTGGATCATTTACTATTCTGCCCAAAGCATCTTTTTATCTGTTTAACTTGGTAAAGAACAATAACATGATTTCTCTTCTTCCCTGCTTACTTGTAACCCAATTTCTCCTCTCTGTTCTGTGTTTTTTCCTAAAATCTACACTGAGTGTAGGTAAAAGTCTACTGTTCCTTATGAAGGAGCTCTGTTGGCATGATTCATAGAGGACTGTGCAGTTAGCCCAGTTCTCTGTGTGCTCGTCTGGTGGTCTGAATGCACAAGCTGCTCTGCAGGATAATGACAGTTCAGTCTTGTGAGATTTACAGCTTTGGAAAAAACCCACTAGAGTGTCAGTTATGAGTTGGAATGGCCTCAATCACAATGAAAAAGAGGGGTGGGGTAGGAGAATCCTTATGAACCTCAAATAATGTTCTGCTATTTCTACTTTAAAAACTGCTAGTTTAATACAGAATCATCTCATCAAACTTAAGCTTTCTTTTCATTTGAATAGTACAGGATCTGAAGTATCTCTATTTAATCAAATTAAATTAATGGTGTTGAAAATAAAGTCTCTCTGGTTAATACTGATGTCAGGAATGCAGTACTGATATGGTTGTGGTTCCTGGGTGCCATTGAGTCAGACTGGCTCATAGTTGACCCACCAGCAGGTTTTCAGGGGATGTAAATGATGTGGCAGAAAGGCTAGTATTAGAGCCTGACAGAACTAAGTTAGAATCAAGCTCTGACTGGTTAACTCATCTAAATATGCCAAGAATGGATTTTATTTCCTGAATGATTGTGATAATTACTTTTTGTGTTGTAACAAAGATTTAATAAAATAATATATGGAAAATATTTAACACCATGTGAGTTTTACTAAGTGAGTAAAAACAGTAACATTGCTACTATTATTAGATGAACAACATCTGGGAGTACTTCAGGAAGCACTTGCAAGTGTATTAACTCAATTGGTTGGCACAATAGTTTTAATACTGAAAGGACATCTTCATGATCACCTAGCATGTACGTGGAAGAACTAGAACTTAAATTCAGCTCTTCCAGTGTAACACCAACCAGCTATTTTTCTACTACATGGCTTTGTACTAATGTGGTTAAAGTACTTTTGATCATATTACAGAGCCAACAAAGAGCCAGTCACAATACTTCCCATACACTCACTTTTATTTTATAAGTTCATGATTACAAGGTGATTATAAGTTCATGATTACAAGGTGAAATTAAGAGTTATGTCAAATATTTGATATCTGCTTGTTCAGAATATACACATAACTCTAAAAATTGTCATCTAATTAACAGCTGTGTATACATATATCTTAATAAGTTTAGAGATGACAGAAGGCTAAAGCATTATAATTAAATTTATTCAGTGGCATATACTAACATTTTAATAATGATTGTAATTTACTATATATTTTCTTGTTTCAACTAATCATAATCAACAAACTTTTGAGTGAGTATAAAAAGCTAATGTTGATATTAAAATTGTAAATTTAAATGAAACTTTATTAAGGGAAAAAATAGTGATTTTTAAAATGTTAATCCCATAGAAACTATTCACAAAGCTTACAACTTACTATTTTAATGAAACAGAGCTTCTCAAATTCCCTCAATTGTGATCTACCTACTTTATTTATGATAACACAAAAATAGGAAGCAAAAAGAATAAAAATAGAACCAAAAGGTACAACCATATAGCAACCACATATAAAAAATTCACTTCTTTCTTTCCTTCTCCTCATTCAGACACTGAAACCATTCAGATAGTAATACAAAACTTTTAACAAAAGTGTATTCTGTATAAATTCCACGTGATACTTGATTCCACCACTGGATCTCCATATAAAAGTACATTCTAAACAGCTCCATAATCATGGAATATTGATTAAATGCCAGGTTTCACTATATGTGTTTTGTTTTGCTTTAACAGCTCTAACACCTCCAGAAGCTATTTCATAGGAAAAGAATGAGCAATCTCCTCCCGTGTCTTTTACTGCCTCTGAAGACCCAATGGAGGATCAGTTATGGGTTGGATTCAAAACAACAACAATAAACTTCATCTTAAAAATTCCTATACAGTGCAATTACTATGAACTTAGCTGCTAGCTGAAACATCAGAAGTTAGAGTGCACCCAAAGGCACCTCAAAACAAGGCCTAGCAATCTACAATGTTTTTAAAAAGTGCCTCTGAAAATCCTTTGGAAGACAATTCTACTCTGACATGGAAGAGTCTGAATTGACTTCATGACAACCGGTGGACATCTGAATTAAAAAAATAAGTCAGCCATTTAATCACCATGTGACTGTGATGTAATGAATTCCTGTATGCCATCTGTTGCCTTGGCTCTTTGGAAAACTAATTTGAGAGATTCCTCACTCCATACCCAGTCCCTGAGTAGGGAGGTCGGGTCATGTGTCCTGGAAGGAGTCCCAAAGGTGGCATCTCTCTGCTTCTTCAGATCCATCAACAGTTCAAATCTACCAGTGGCTACAAGGGACAATGGTGGGTAACCTCCTCCTGTGTGACTGATAGCCTCCCAAAAGCTCACTGGAGAGTCAGCTATGAGTCACTTTTGAATTAATGACAATGAGCTTGAGTTTGAGTTCTGAATCCTTGAGTAGTTAGTTACTTTTACCCTCGATTTCTGCACCAGAATATTTCTTACTTTTGTCCAGACTGTCATTTCCTGGATACTTGGTGTCTAGTCATTGACTACAGTCTGCCCTACGACTGGTATATACCTTGCAGTGACTGGTCAACAGACAATACAAATTAGATTTGTAGCTCAGTTGAACCTACAATGCATATGAAGTATCATAGGTCTCCTGAGAGGTGATTGGTCGGTTCGTGCCCCTGGTGAGAAGGCAATGCCTTTAAATTCACAACATTTGTGTATTTATACAGGAAACCTCGTAGTGTTTGTCAGGCAGAAAGAAATGAGAAGCAGCAGAAGAAACAAAGTATAAAGAAGCAGAGAGAGAAAGGAAGGAACCTACTAAAACAGCTTTAACACTGATCAATGGTTAAACATATATGACAGTGAGAGACCTGGAAGAGGCCCAGGGGCATTGCCATCAGTGACAGATGTGGCAGGGTCAAGAAGAGCCTATCCCGAGGGCATTAAGAGGGGCCTGTCCTCAGGGGGACAAGAGCTGCTCATAAGACTGTCTTGAACTAAAGAAGAGAAATTTTGCCTACAAGCTCCCTAGCCCTGTGCCCAAGTTGTACTCTGTTATTTTCATAATAAGGAACTTAACTGTAAGTGTGGTCTGTGGGTTCTGTGTGGTCACAGTAATAGATTAGCAAACCCAAAAGAGAAGAGGGAGGAAAGCATCAGGTGAGAGAATTAGTAAAAAAGTTGGAGGAGGAATTACTGTGATTGCTGCTTCACAGGGCTCAACCTTGGACTGTCCTTTATTTGAATTAGACAGGTTGTGATGCTATCCTTACTGTAACTCTTACCACTGTTGTATAGTTGAGATAGTCAACTAATGTGGTACGTCTGTATCTTCTCATGATCTGCAAAGCCAGTGATCAAAACCTAAATTCCTTCTCTTGAATCAAGGGTAAATTACTTCTGTTATTTATTACTCCCAGTTGTGAAGGCATTTGACAGTATAATTTCAACACATAACACTAAAGCACATATAAACTGGATGATTTTACCAAGACAGTAAGATACAAAACGTACTCCTTAATTAAAATATTCTCCCCAAATCAAAGTACTGCAACATAAATCCAAGGAACATTTCCAAAAGAACAACATATTTTCAGAACATTTCAAAAACAGTATATTTTATACTCAGATTTTTATTTCCATTTAAAATTGCGTTTCTATTTAAGAAAAACTAAAGCAAGGCAAACATTTCTATGACATTACCTCCTGTCCTGATACTGTAACATACTGTGCTGAAGGATTTTTCAGTATTCTTCGTATTTCTTGCAAATGCACTCGAATTTTGTTAGTAGTATCCTGAATTTCATCCTTTCTCTTTTTTATTAAAGGAAAGTCAGAAAGATCTTTGAATAATTCCGTTTTATCTCCAATTCTAAAAAAACAAAAAAATACAATGCAAATATATGTTTTAAAGCATATTCATTCCACAAGTTACCAATTGTTTTGTGAGGCACGATGAAAGAACTGGGAACTGGGAAACAAGTGTATCATTCCAGTTCTACCACTTACACAAAGGTTTGTTAATTTCCCTGAGGATAGACAAAATGGCCCTTTCACTTTCATCTTTCAAGTTCATGATTCCCACGGTAAAATCAACACATATCATTAAATACTTGTTTTTGCTGGTTAAGAAAAACGAACACAAATATTGTGCAGTAATGACTTTTACATAAAAGCGATTTTTGGGGAGATGTGAAATGATTGGCTCTCAAGAGATAACACAGATTCTGCAAATTCTAAATATAAAGCAACCATCTCCGGATAGTTAGCAAATGCGGCCAAGGCATGACTTGGCAACATGTTTAGGTTAACAGGACACTTCTAACAGTACAGTCCATGGTATGCATCACCAGTAAAAAGGACACACATCTCCATGGTTCAAACCTACGGCAGCTCCAATGCAAAAAGGCGAGCACTCTTCCCAGCCTCAGAAAGCCAAGGCAGGGTTTCTGTTAGTTGGAATCGATCTGACAGTCAGGCTAAATCTGGTCACCAGTGAAAACTCTAGAAGTATACTATATCTGTCTTAGAAAAAGAACTGCTTAAGTTCCAGACAGCAAAATGTTACTTCCAGGATTCATACACTGAAACCTTCACTATCTAATAGAGTTTTTAATTTCAAAATTGCAGCTGCAAGGGAGCTCTGGTGGCCTAGTGGCAAAAAATTGCACTGCAATCCCAGAGGTATGTGGTTCGAATCCACCAGATGCTCTGCTGGAGAAGAAGGGGCAATTCTCCTCCTGTACCAGGTCAGATCCGATTTGACAGTACACACACAAAAAATAAAATTTTTTAGAAAATTGCAGATGCAACTTTTACCATTTTTAAATGACCACGGAGGATCTATGTTGTTGATTGCTGTAGAGTCGAGCACAACTTACAGCAACACACTGAACAAAAGACCTGAAGCCGTTCTGTAACTATCGTTGTTTCTCCAAGTTCACAGAGTTTCCAGAGGCATGTGGTTTAGGACGTGGATGCCACTCCTGCTTCCAAACCTGTCTTAAACTGGGAACTCCACCAAACACTGTCTACCATGGGCAGCCATTATAGCATTTGAGACCCCAATGGCACAAGGTTCAGCATCATAGCATCACAGATTACCTCAGTACAGCGAACTGACAGAAAAGTGCTGCATGACTTAGAAGAACGTTCCTCCAAAATATAGTAACAACGGATTAAAATATAAACCTTCAGGCCCATTCTTTAAATGCAAGGGCTTAAATAAAAACAAAACAAAACAAAAAAACCCAACCAACCAAACATTCCACACAACCCTCAACTGAACAAGAAGAGTCCATCTTACAGAGTCCAGCCACTCCACCCGCTCTCCAAAATGGAGACAAGGGCTTGACCTTAAATGCAAGTGCCCTCCAGGAGGTTTTATTGACTCTAAACAAAAGGCTTAAATAAAAAAAACAACTAAACATTCTACACAGATCCTCAACAAAAACAAGAGCACCATCTTACAGAGTCTAGCTGCTTCATCCAACCTCCAAAATGGAGACAAGGGCCTGGTCTTATACGTTGTTGTTAAGTGCTGTCCAGTTGCAATCCTAGGAACAAAAGACCTTAACCCTGTTCGATAACTATTGTTCTTTCTTGAAGTTCATAGAGTTTCCTGTTTAGGAGTTGGTTGCCACTCCTGCTTCCAAGGCTGCCTTAATCTGGGAGTTCTACAAAACACTGTCAACCATGTGTCAACCATGTAACCAGTATAGCATCTGACACAGCAATGGCACGCCGTTCAGTATCACAGCAACCCCAGATTACCTCAGTACAGCAAAATGACAGAACAAATGTAAAAACTGACATTTACTGTTGGAAAATAATTACTTACTTGGCAGCATGTTCATTAATTATCTTTATGTAATATTCCACTGGCCTAAGGAGTTCAGGAATTTCTAAAAGAAGTATCTGGAGCAAGTCAGACTGAATATGGGAATTCACAGCAGGTATTAATGCTTGAAATTCCAAGTTCAAGTGATACAGAGTCTTGATGATCAGGAAGAACTCTTGGGTAGAACACTGGAAATAGAAATATTTTTTACACCAATAACATCAGATATGCAAAAATAAAACTTAATAAGTATCATTTAAAAAGTCAGAATCAGAAGTAGAGGAAATGTTATTTTCTTATTTAATTAAATAACACATTTTTGATACCTTATAAATATTAAATCAATGGTTTAAATACTATATAAAGTCATGTTTTAAAGGTAAAAAGAAAAAATATTTAAGCCAAGTTTAATAAAGGTAAAAATACTATGTTCTTCATTACTCTTTAATATTAGACCACTCAATTGGCAGCACCATAGATGGAGAAGAGATTGAGGTTGTTAGCAATTACAGCTTGCTTGGATCCACAATCAACACTCTTAGCACTAGCAGGGAAGAAATCAAAAGACTAACCGCATTGGGAAAATCTGCTGTCATGGACCTCTCTAGTTGCTAAAGAGCAATGATGTCAGTCTTGATACAAAGGTGCACCTAATCAAGATATGGTATTCTCAATTACTTGTTATAGTTTAGAGAGTTGGACAATGACTAAGGATGACAGAAGAAGAATAGATGCCTTTGAGTTGTGGTGCTGGAGAGGAGTCTTGAACATACCATGGACTGTCAAGAAAACAAATAAGTCTGTCTCGGAGAGGATAAAACCAAGTCTCTCCTTGGAGGCTAGGATTTTGAAGCTCTGCCTCACTTACTTTGGGCACATGGCCAGGAGAAATTGGTCCTTGAAGAAGGACATCATGCTTGGAAGAGTGGACGGACAATGCAAGACCCTGGATGAGATGGATTGATACAGTAACTGGGGTGATGGAAGGGAGTGACTGTGTCGGAGTTAGTGAGACTGGCTCAGAATAGGGAAGGATTCAGAGCTGCTGTACGTAGGGTCGCTATACATTGCAGGCAAATCAGAGGCACATAAACATATCATGACGGGTTTGGAAGCAGGAGTGGCATCCACTTCCTAAATAACATACCTATGGAAATGCTATGAACTTTGATAAATGCCGATAGCTGTAGAGCGGCTTATGGACTTTTGTTCATAGGGTCGCTATGAGTTGTGCTCGACTCAAAGGCAATAAATAACAACAACAATCATATAGAAAGAAATAAAAGTCAGTAATTTAAAAAAAAGGACAACACTGGGAAAAATATCTGTAAGATGTATGAAAGAGAATGGGCTAAAGTCTCACAAAATAATTAGTTCTTACAAGTTGACAAGAAAAAAGATGAATAATGCAAAGGGAAGATGGCTAAATGAGTGATATGCAACTCAGAAAGAGAACGTCCAATAAGCACATGATTAACCTCACATATAATAAAAGAGAAGCAAATTAAAACTGCAAGATCTCATTTTTCACTAAGCAGAATGCCAGAGACTTAAAATCTTGATAATTACCATGTCATTCAAGGCACTGGGAAAAAGATATACTATTATGATGTCAGTCTAGAGACCAAGCGGTCCCTGATGCAAGCCATGATCTTCGCAATTACTTACTATGCATCAAAGAGCTGCACAATGACTGAGGATGACAGAAGAATTGATGCCTTGACTTATGGTACTGGAGAAAAGTAGTGAACATACCATGAACTGCCAGGAGAAAAATAGGTCTGTCTTAGAGAAGGTGAAACCAAGTTTTCCTTATTGTTGTTGTTGTGTATCATAGAGTAGGAACCAACCCAAAACTGACCCTCTGATTTTCAGAAGCAGTTAATTACATGGGAGAAAAGTGTCCATCCTTTTCCCATGGAGCAGCTGGTGGCCTCAAACCACATGCCTTCAGGATTGTAGCGTGGCTTCATTCACTAGGTCACCAGAACTCCCGACTCCTTAAAGGCAAGGACTTTGAAGCTCCATCTCACAGACTTCCTGCATGTGGCCAGGACGACCAGTCCCTGAAGAAGGATATTATGCTTGGAAGGCTGGAGGGACAGCACAGGAAAGGAAGACCCCAGATAAGATGGATAGATACAGTAACTGGGGCAATGGGGGTGTGTTAGAATCAGTGAGACTGGCTCAGGACAAAGCAAGGTTCAGAGCTGTTGTGCATAAGGTCACTAATAGGCAACTCGATAGCATGTAACAGCAACAAGTAAGGTGCAATCTTTTGTATAGTAATTTAGAATATCTTTAAAGGAAGAGTATGGATTTCTTTGACTCAGCAACTCTTCTTTGGGGAATGTGTCTAAAATGGTACTTAAACAAGAAGGAGCGGTACGTGTACTGTCTATAAATTTATAGAGGTATTTTTTCCTAAGCATTTTAAAAGATAAATAAGGTACAAATATTGAGCAAATGGGATCTTATTAGGGAAAACTCATACAATACTATGGGGGTGTTGTGTATCATGGTGTTAGCAAGGACTCATAGCTGACACTCCAGCAGGTTTTTAGAGGGGGTAACTGCATGGGAGCGCGTCCAGCGCAACATCTGTTAGCTGAAATATGTCAACTGGTATACCATCTATTCCTGGGGCCTTATTTTTTGCTATTTCCTTCAAAGCAGCTTGAACTTCTTCCTTCATCATCATAGGCTCTTGTTCATATGTTGTGTCATGAAATTCTATGTCTGCCAATTCTTTCCGATACAGTGACTCAGCATATTCTTTTCATCTTCTTTTAATACTTCCTGGATTATTTAATATTCTGCCCAAAGCATCCTTGATTATAGCAAATCTAGGTTTGAATTTGTTCTTCAGTTCCTTGAGCTTAAGTAATGCTGAGCGAGTTCGGCCCTTTTGATTTTCTGACTCCAACTCATTGCACATTTCATTGTAATATTTTACTTGGTCGTCTCATGCTGCCTTTTGAAATCTTCTATTCAACTCTTTAGTATCTTGACTTCTTCCCTCTGCTTTGGCTTCTCTGCGCTCCAGTGCAATTTTCAGTCTCTTCTGACATCCATTTTGGTCTTCTCTTCCTCTTCTCTCTTTGCAGTGACCGTTTGCACTCTTCCTGGATGATACCCTTGATATCCTCCCACAACTCATCTGGTCTTCGCTCATTAGTGTTCAAGGCCTCAAACCTGTTCCTGAGCTGGTTCTGAAATTCAGGTGGGATAGACTGGAAGTCATATTTTGGTTCCCATGGACTTGGTTTAATTTTCCTCAGCTTAAGCTTGGACTTGCATATGAGTAGTTGGTGGTCTATTCCACAATCAGCTCCTGGCCTAGTTTTCACAGCTGATACTGAACTTCTCCAGCGGTTCTTTCCACAGATGTAATCAATCTGATTCCTAGGAGATTACTGCCCATATGCCTTTGGGTTAACTGCAAAAAATAAGACATATGATTAAGACAAACTGATTAAGGCATAATGTCCCTCATACTTGGGTCATCATGCTTGTGAAGGTGGAAAGATAGTGAAAGAGAGGAACTTCTTAACCAGGTGGACTGATACAGTGATTGCAGCAATGAGTTCAAGTGTGTCATCAGAGACTGTGAGGATGGCACAGGATTGGACTGGGTTCTAATCTGTAGTTTAGAAGGTAGTTATGAGTTGTACTCAACTTGATAGCATCCAACAACAACAATATCCTGATATGGAATTCTATAATTTCAATATATAATAAATAATGCTCTTGTTAGCTACTATCAAGTCAGCCCCTGACTCTTGGTGACCTCTTATGTTACAGATTGGAACTGTTTCATGGGAATTTCTAGGCTATATTTATAGAAGCAGTTGGCCAGATCTTTCTTCTATGGATACACACAAATAAATACAATAAAGTTTTATTCATGAATCTTTAGATAATACACAGTATAGTATGTGCATATTTATAAATTAAAATCTTGTTAAAATGTCTAGAATGGTATACATGTAACTTAGTTTGATTACCACTAAGTAGAGGGCACAAGGAGAGTAAAGGAAGACTTCTTACTCTTTATTCTACTTCTTTTACAGGCAAATTTTTAACAGGAACATAGATTATTTTTAACTTGGGGACTGCTGATACAGTTTGCCTGAATACATCAATCTAATTTCACTCCATCTAAAAAATATCCTTTGTCTATGAAATGACATTTTGCTCTCCTCATGGTTTATATCCATGATGTCATCCTACACTTCATTTGGTCTTTGATCATTGATGTTCAATGCTTCAAATCTATTCTTAAGATGATTTTTACATTCAGGTAGGATAGACTTAAGATCATATTTTTGTTCTCATTAACTTTTTTAAAAATTTTCTTCATTCTGAATTTGAACTTCCACATGAGTAATTAATAGTCTGTTCCACAGTCAGCACCTGGTCTGGTTTTGACTGCTGATAATGAGCTTCTCCAGCAATTCCTTCCACAGATGTAGTCAATATGATTTCTATGCAGTCCATCTGATGAGGTCCATGTGAAAAGTCACTGTTTGTGGGTTTGGGGTATTTCTTTTTTTTTAAAAAAAAAGGCATTTACAATAAATAAGTCACTGACTGTACAAAATTCTATCATTCTATTTTGAGCCTCATTTCTATTAGCAAGTCTATAATCTCCAGCTACCATTCCTTCTCCATTTCAACTTCAGCATTTCAGTCACCAATTATCAATAATGAATCTTAATTGCATGTTTGGTCAATTTTAGGACTGCAAAAGTTAGAAAAAGACTCCATTTTCTCCTCTTTGGTTTTAGCTGTTGGTACATATATTTGAATAATAGTTATATTAACAGGTCTTCCTGTCAATGGATATTATCCTATCACTCATAATATTGTACTTCAGAATAAAATTTTAAATTGTCTTTTTAACACCATTCTTCTTCTGTTTTTCATTACTGCATTGTATAACATGTGACTATCTGATTCAAAGTGGTCAAAGTCAGTCCATCTCATATCACTAAGGCTTAGCATTATCAATGTCCATGCATACCATCTCCTTTTTTCACAACTTTTAGTTTTCCAACACTCAAGGATATCATCCGTGAAGCAAGCAAAAGGTCATTAAAAAGATACAGGTAAAAGAAAAAAAAAACAAAATGAAAGTGAGAAGAGACTCAGAAAATTTCACTGAAGTGTCAAGAAGCCAAAACAA